ACACACACACACACACACACACACACACACACACACACACACACGGAGGTATTACAGAGAGGCCACACCAGGGGCCACTGTGCCTGCACACCACTGCTGGCTCAGGTCACAGCTCCAGCGGCCTCTGGCCTGTGGAATGTTCGGGAGCTGAAGCGAAGCCCCTGTGGAAAGGCCCTGTTACAGGTCCCAGCTCCAGCCAGCTCCTTACCTTTCTCTCTCAGGTACGTCACCGTCCACCGCAGCACGGGGGGGATGAGTTCCCCTTGATTCTTGTCTTTGAGGCTGAGGGAGAAGAAAAGTATTGCCTTACTCATTCCAGGCCTTGATGGCAGGCACAGCCAGGGAAGGCTCTTGAATTCCCCATTCCAGAGACACGGCCTTAGCCTCCATGAAGCAACCACAAGAATCCAAACATTTGGAAGGACGGCACAGTGCCAGAACTCCACCCAGAATACGGTGTGGGAAATGCTGGGGACTGAAGGCTTCCCCAAGGGGCTACTTCAAGGTGAGGGTTTTGAGGGATGAGGAGGAGCTTACCAGGAGGAAAAAGAGAAAAAAAGCATTACAGACAAGAAGACAGACAGAGGTACAGAAAAAGTCTAACTGTGAGTGTGGACCCAGGAGACTAGACTAGGTGCCCATTCAATTTAAAAAATTTAAATTTAAAAAGTACTTGCTCATTCAATTTTTAAAAAAGTACTGGCTGGGCATGGTGGCACACACCTTTAAGCCCAGCACTTGGGAGGCAGAGGCAGGTGGATCCTGGTCTACATAGTGAGTCCCAGGACAGCCAAGACTACAGAGAGACCCTGCCTCAAAAATAAGTAAATAAACGAAACAAAAGGACACAGTAAAACCACGGCGCCTGAGACACAGTAACGGCAGATAGTCGCAAGCTCTCATGCAGATCCCAAGTCCCTGGCATCTAGCACTGGCTGGGGACCGTGGTGGAAGGAGCTACGCAGTCTTGGGAAAGGGTCTCTATGTCACTTCACTTGCAAGGAGTTGCTTTTTTGTGGACTGGCCATGGGCTGGCCCACACCACCTGCTGTGGGATATAAGAAGAGATGATACACATGTTTTTTTGTACGATCTCCTGACTGGGCCATACCTGCTTCAGTCCCCTGCCGGGAGAACAGTTGTCCCAGGTGGAGGCCACTCCCTTGGTGTGAGTGTCAGAAATAACAAGCTACATAAAGTGAGTTGAACCCCAGTTGCTCTGCACACTTCGTAGAACCCAGGAAAGAACGCCTGTTGCCGTACCGTGCTGAGAGTGAGATTATTTGTTACATGGCATCAACAAGAACTGACTGAGACACGGAAAAAAAAAAGGCCTGCTGCTATAACATGCTGAGGTGGAGACGGCTTGTTACACAGCATTGCCTGTGACAGCTGAGACATGGTTGCTGCTTGTGAGGCTAGGCCCACAGCTGCAGGGAAGGGACCTCAGGGTCTCTTGAAGAGAAAGGTGGATTAGGACACTGGGATCCAAGAAGAGGTATAAATACAGAAAGCACCCATTCTGTTCTATGAGGCTGAGATGAATGTTTTAGGCTGACTGGAACTTGGATTGGAAAACCGAGGCACAGATTGGTCACATGACTTGCTCAGTTGAGTGCAGAGATTTGAACCCAGGCAGGCTCCAGGACCTCACCTCTTCACCCTGTTCGTGCTGTCACTTGCAGTGTCAAGGTCACCACGTATGTGTGAGCTGGATACGAGCTCAGGAACAACCCACTCGGAGTGTAAATCCTGACAGAGGCAGAGGGCAGAGAGGAGGAGTATGTACAGCAACCATGGCTCTGCCAGCCAAACCCAGCACTCACCTGAGGCCTCTCCCTGAGGCCCCGTCACAGGAGCAATGGCCTCCACGCATCCTGACTCCGTGAGTGGTTTGGTTCCTCAGAGATCTTTCTCTCTGCTAAAGCCCTGAACAGTCACGGGGTAGCCATGGGGCTGGCCCTGCGGCGAGGCCCAGGAATGAGTGGGCCCTTCACAGCCTGTCCCATGTCAGCTCCCTATTTGCCAGCTGTCAGGGAGGAGGAGATGTCCCCGGGGAGGGAGGAACAGGGCAGCGGGAGCTGCAACGCTGCTTTCTAAGGAGCCGGATGTCCCATGGCACCTTCCTCAGAGCCGTGCTCTTGCCAGCCCAGTCCCTTAGCTTCCTTGGCCTCAGTCTCCCTCATTGTGGACAGTGAGGGTGTTGGCAGCACCTCTCCAGGGTCTGGGGCATGTAAGGGCATTGCTAAGTAGGAAGGCTGGTGGCAGAGATCATTCTCATGCCAGGAATTTGCTGGGCACCACGCTGCACTTTGCTATACAAGCAGATCTTGGGACAGGCAGAGCCTTCGGGACCATCCAACACTCCCTCCTCCAGTGTTGAGAAAACCCAGGGCTGCAGAGGGAGAGATTTCCCCCAAAATCTTGGGTCCACTAGACTACAGACCTAAGGACCTACCTCTACCTGTCAGAGCCTACAGCAACCGGGGACCTGACCAGAAATCATTGCTATCTGCAGGATTCCCCCAGTTCTGAGTCTCTGCAAGCAAGTACCCCACAGTCCAAGTCTCCCCTCCAGCCTCTCTTGCTGGCCCAAAGAGAGGCTTGCCCCATGGACTCCCAAAGTCAGTGCTGAGAATAACAATTATCCCAAGCAGGAGAACAGATGGGCCCCACTCATGTCCCGCCTGGGCGAGTGTGCCCAGGGCCATGGGGGAATGTTATACCATGTCCCTCCTGAGAACCCCAATGGCAAGGGGCAGGGGCAGGTCTCTGTAAAAATGCTTGGGGCACATTAAACCCATCCCCTGTGCTGAGGTTCTGAGGGGCATTCCCAGAAGCAGCCTAGAAGACAGAGCAACGTTCAGCCATCTGCCCAGAAGGCACTGGGGCGGCTCTGCTCATAAGCCCTGCCTGTCCCCTGGGAGAAGGGCTTGGCATCAGCCGGAGCAGGCTTTTTTTCCTACTTTTGCATGCACTGCATGTGGTGAATGCACAAACAGGGGAGTGGGGTGGGGCGAGGAGGGGATGCCACCGCAACGAAGCTGGTTGGCTGGTCACAGGCAGTGTGAGCACTTAGTCTGTCCCAGGGCACTGGCCTTTCCAGCCCTCCAGGACAGTCATTGCCCCCCGAGCCTCTCTGACCTCTGAGATGGTGGTTCAATCCCCAAGATGGGAGGAATGGCCGCAGCTCCCGTCACCACAGAGCCCCCTGGCCATAGGGTCAGCCAGGGAGGTCCTGGATGCCAAGGCAGCTAGATAATGCCAAAGGATTGGTGGTGGCTGGCTGTGTATTACGTGTCTTTGGGCGTCTGCTAGTGGCAGCATTTCATCCCTATGTTTATAGAGGACAAACCGAAGCTCAGAGAGGTAAAGCATTGTATTTGAAGTCACACTGCCTAGTGTGGGCTACAACCAGGGATGAAATCAGGCTAAGAGATGGCTCAGCAGTTAAGAGTGCATACTAGCCTACCCAGAGGACCTGAGTTCGGTTCCCAACACCCACACTGAGTGCTCATAGCTGCTTGTAACTCCAACTCCAGGAGATCTGTCGCCCTTTTCTAAGCTCCAAGGGTTCTACAAACTCACACACATAAATACATAATGTATATATTATATGTCGTAACATATAATACAAATACACACATGCACACACACACTTGGAAGCGTCAAGGCGACCTATGAAACAGGAGATTATATTTGTAAGCCGTATCTCCTAACAATCCAGAATGGGGGCTGAGGAGATGGCTCAGTGGTTAAGAACGCTGGCTGCTCTTCCAGGACATCTGTCTGGGTTTGATTCCTGGCACCCACATGGTGGCTCACAACCATCTCCAACGCCAGTTCTGAGTGATCTGACACTTTCTTGTGTCCTCCACAGGCTCCAGGCAAAACACCATATATATGAAAAAAAAACTGTATTTAGACTATATTCTGTCTATCTATCTATCTATCTATCTATCTATCTATCTATCTATCTATCTATCTATCTATC